GAGGGCCACAGTTTCCCCATTTCTGGATTACATCTTCTCATATTTTTATTGACCTATTCAAACATTTTATAATACTAATAGTTTCCCCTTTAAAATAATTATTAGTGACCTTTTGCGGGTTCTTGTGGAGACCAGACAGATTTAGGGATATATGAGCCTAGGCAAGATATGTGCCAGCACTCACGTCAAACATCTAAGGCTAAATGCTCTTGGACCCAAACCGCATGTATTGCTAAGCACATGTAATTCCTTTGTCCCAGCATTTTCATCTTGTGACTAAATATACTCTAACAGATATGAAAAAATAGAGCCAATTTTCTTCTTATCTTCAGGACATATCCAGTTATTAGTAAATTCTGGGCAATGATAATTCAAATCAAAGTATACTTTATTCTTCATCAGTAGACCCTAAGGTGTGATTTAAAGATTATGGTTTGCGGAGACTGTTTTAATATTGTTAATTAACCTATCCACCGCAGCCAAATATGTACTACCAGTGTGAGAGCCAATGTGGTGTAGTGGTTAAGAGCATGGGACTGGGACTCAGACTATCTGGGTTCTAGTCCCCGCTCAGCCATGGAGCCAACTGGGTGACTTTGGGCCAGTCACAGACTCTCAGTCCAACCTACCTCACAGGGTTGTTGTTGTGGGGATAAGATGGAGGAGGAGAATGATGTAAGCTGCCTTGAGCCCTTTGTAGGAAAAAGGCAGGATATAAATCACAATATAAATAAATAAATAAATACTACTACAAGTTACTGAAAAATGTTAATCGTTCCCCCATTTCAGAACAGTATGTGAAAATAAGGCATGTTGTTCTTATGCCTAAAGCAATTCATTCATTGAGGAATCTATGGGAGGTAAATACTGGCCCATTTGTGAAAAAGTGGATTTTGTTTGTGGCAATTTAGAATGATAAATTCCGAGATGTTAAGTCAGAGTTGTGATTTTTAAAATGTGTTACATTGTAACATGGTTGAATTTTGTATGAGCTGTATTTGGTGCATTGTGTATGTTCTATATATTTTGAGAAAGAAATTGGAGAAAGGGGCTACATAAACTTTCTCCACTTTGAAGCTGGACATCTTCAAATGGCTTTTCAATTTATGTGGATGGACAGTCACTGATCTCTGCCCTTCTCCTTTGGTACCAGCTGGAACTGGAGGGACAGAAAAGGATGGAAATGTTCCTCCTTTCTGGCTATGCTTTGGATGAGCATGACCCTCCAATCTCAGAGGCTTAATCTCATTTCCGTGAGATCGTGCCATAAATGTTGTATCCCATTTAAAATCTGGGTAGTTGGAAGAAGAACACAGGAATCCATGTTTTAGACACACACTGCTATAAGACATCCCATTCTCTCTCTCTCTCTCTCCTTCCTTCTTTCTTTTTTGCTTCTCTGTGTCCTAAATTAATATACTTAATGCAAAGTTCGGTTCATGCAAGCACGCACCCACACGTTTGCACTCCAGGCATCCAACCCCTTCCCTCTGTGCTCCCAAGGTCACCTTCACTTCTGCAAAACAGCTTGCTTTGAAACAGATGGAGTTTTCAACTGCTTATGAAAAATATAAAAATAAACGTGTAGGGTAGGAAGAAGGGGCACCTGACACATCCAAATTAAGTGCAAGAGGCGTCTGTTTTCTTAGAACTACAAGTTCCCCAGAAGCAGAAAATATTTTTAGAGGAATAGGGAGTTTCATAAGTAATAAACCGGTTACAAAAATGGCGGCTTTTGAGGTTAACACATTTAGAGGAATTATGGATGTGTTGGTGACAAGCTGACCCAAAATATGATAATTAGCTAAATTCCAGATGTTCCAACCAAAAGTTTGCTCCTAAAATCAATTAAAGATTTTTTTTTTAAAAAACATCATCAGGTACTCTTATCCTTGCTACCTTGGATTATAGAGTGTGCCTGCGTACAGAAGCAGTTCCAAGAAATTAGTGCGCTCAGGGCAGATTATAAAGTGATGAAACACACCAAATTAAGCATATTTGGAGGAGAAATAGGGGCAAAACTGTCCTCAGGATTTAGGGAATGCCTGAATATGGAGCTCTCAAAGGACTTCCTTAAACAGGAGACTATTGTGCTGCTTCTGATCATCTTGGGATCCTTTCTATAACCAAAGGGCACTGTTGGGGCAAGTTGAGCTTTTCCTGGTCTTGTAGCCCTGGAAACTGATCTGGATGTGCAGAAAATATGAATGGAGGAACAGAATGAACAAAGGGTATGAGACAGAGGCATGGAGAAAGACCATAAGCTGTGGAGATATCACTACAGTTATTCTTAACAGGAACCACAGACAGCAGACAGAAGTCTTGTTGCTATTGTGATTTCACCTGCTAAATTTCTATAGCCCAGACTGCTTTTGGAGGATCAGAAGTAAGTCCAGATCATGAGAACCCTAGATTTTTAATAGTTTCAAGCTCTAGAAACCTAATAAGTTAGCTCTTGCATTCTTCATCATAATTATGAAGATTTTCAGGCCACTATAGGCATGATTCTTATTATTCGTTATTTGTTTTGCGGCGCCAGGCTAAGACCTTTTTATTTAAAACTTATTTTAATTGTTAATTTATTATATATTTATAGGATTTTAAATTTTTAGCTGAGATGTTACCAGGCTTTTTAATCTTTATTGTATTTAGTATTATTTATATGTTTTTAATTATGTTGTGAGCTGCCCCAGGCTTTGTTGCGATGGGGTGGCATGGAAATGTTTTAAATAAATAAATAAATAAATAAATAAAATATTTTCTTTTGCTGCCCTTTTATTTTACACCACAATTCTGCCTTCCCCCCCGTCTCTGATATACCATCCACTTTTTCTTCAATCTCACTCCTACAGCCTACAAGCAACTGCCATCAGGATAGTTCCCTAATCCATATAACCTTCATGTAACTCACATGGAATGAGCCCTGCCTACCTAAACAGATAGGGGCTCCATACAAAATACTTACTTTCAAAAACAAAAGATAGATGGGTCATCTAGTTCTAGCAGTGATTAAGAAAATACACAAATACACTGTCCCTTATATCATGCATTACCAGAAAGTCTAGGAAAACCAACTATAATGCTTTCTATTGTCTTCCATTTTGGTGGCAGGCACATTATTTATTTCATTTCTATACCACCCAATAGCCTAAGCTCTTTGGGAAGATCAAACAATTACAACCACAAAATGTAACATGAAATAAAAGAAAAGCTTAAATTGCCAGTATAAAATTAGAAGTAAAAGCCAAAATATAACTTAGCAGCAGTATAAAAATTTAAACTACAGTAAAAGATTAAAGCAACGTACTGAAAGACCAAACTTCCTGAGAAAATTCCTGGGAAAACAAGAAGGTCATGCTAGAAAAGGTACAACATAGGTGCCAAGAAACCAGAAAAGGATGACCTTAAGGTCCAGGCAGGTATATATAGGAGGAGACAATCCTTCAGGTAATTTGGCCCCAAGCAATTTAGCGTTCCTAGTGTTAATGCCAACACCTTGAACCAGGCCCAGATAATGGACAGGCAAACAAGGTAGATGGAAAGTACTGCCTTAATATGACAACCTTGGCTAGTCCCTGTTAGAATCAAACTGCCATGTTTTGGATGAGCTGAAATTTCCAGGCTGTTTTTCTGTGAAAGCATTGCAGTCATTCAGCATAGAGGTTACAAAAGCATGGATAGCTGTAGTCATCCGTTTTATTTATTTATTTATTTATTTATTTATTTATTTATTTATTTATTTCTATCTATCTATCTATCTATCTATCTATCTATCTATCTATCCTGCTCAATAGCTGAAGCTAGGCTACACACCAGTCCAGATAAGGACATTGTTGGTCTAACCACATAAGCTCTTAAAATGTGCTCCGTGCCGCTGAGGCCACCTGTGGTTCTAGTGAGAGTACTAGATCTAAGAACACCCCCAACTATGAACCTGATTCTTTTGGGGGACGGCAATTTCCTCCAAAACAGGTTGCATGTCCTTCATCTGGGCAGGTGAACCACCCACTACCAGTATCTTTGTCTTGTCTGGATTAAGTCTCAGTCATCAGTCCATTACTAGACCCAGGTGCTGATTCAGAACAGCTGCTGCCTCCCCTGATTTGATGAAAAGCAGAGACAGAGCTGTGGTTCTGTGCAGGACAAAAATGAGCACCATGGAAGCCCACAGCAAAGTTGCCAAGGCCCACTGTGACCATCTCCCCAAACCACCTTCTGGGATCAACTGTCCAAGCTGAAGTAGAAACACTGCAGTGTTTCCAACTCATGGCCCAGACAGCATTTCCAGAATGATTCTTTGGTTGATGGTACTGAAAGCTGCTGAGAAGTCCAAGAGAAGCCACAGGGTCACATTCCCCCAGCAGAAGCTATCCAACAAGACAACTAGCAATCACACGCTCAAGCACCTTGTCCAGGATGGAAATGCTGGCCTATAGTGGGTCCAACGCAGGCTTTCTTAGAAGCAATTACCATCTCCTTTAAAGAGGCTGGTGCCATTCCCTCTGTCAAGGAGCCATTTATGTCCCAGCTTGTCCCTCTTTAGAGATAATATAGAAGGCAAAGAGCTGGTTAACTGGACTTGTCTGCATCCTTGGACCTCAACAGGTGAAATTCATCCAATAAAACTGGATCAGACTGTGTTCTGCACAACTCTGTGATGGATCTGAGTGACCTTCTTCAAAAAGTCGTATGAACTAGTCACAGTGTGCAATTGAGGGTTCCACCATTTTTCTCCCAGGCCCAGATGTAGCAGACCATGAACCACTCGGCAAAGCTCTGCTGGGTGACACTGCAAGATGCAGCAGTGGTGGAAAAGAACTTCTCCTTTGCCACCACTATTTATAAAGGGTTAAAAAAGGCCCTTCGGAAATGCACTGTTATGTCCCCTGTAGCTATACAGAGCCCAGTACAACAGATATTGCAATACGGAGGGTAAACCTTATGGCACTGCTGTATTAATGCACAAATTATAAGTGATGGACAACTCAGAGCTACCTTACCTTTCAGAGAAGGAGGTGTGTAGACACAAGGGGAGTTTCTTTTGTTTTTAAGATGGTAGCCTTCACCCAAAGCTCTCTAGAAAAAGAAGAAATGGAGTCAACAGTTCAAAGGCAGAACAATTCTCTAAAGATTTCCCTGAGGGGGTAATAGTGGAGATGTGACTTGAAGTATGAAAAAAATTAGGAAAGCAATTATAATCATTTGTTAAATTAAGACACTGGCTCTGATCCAGGGAGCTCTATTGTCAGTGCACATGGGCTTGGGTATGTGGCTATTCACTTCGTGCCTTTTTTCTGCAGCTGCTCCCCAATGCCCTGTCGCTGGAAGCTGCTTCTGGAACATGCAGGGTTCTAAACAGGGCTGTAACCCAATTAAAGACATCTCAGTCAATTAATCACATCCATTTTAATTGATTAATCCATCAATTAAATTTGCATGTATTTGCAGATGAGTGAAAAGATAGTTCTGCAGAGAAAAAGGAGCACATGTTCTTTTTGATAATACAGCAGGCAGAATCTCAGAAGAGGCGTTCCGTCCCATGTCAAAGAGGACGGGGGGTGCACCTTTAAGGCTAATGCAGGTGTTTCCTATATGTTTATATTAAAAATAATAGATTGAAGCCAGTCTTCATCACACTTGAACTAGATCAATGGGATTTAAGTGCTAAGAGTATGACAGTGTCTGGATCCTACCCAGTGATTTTTTAAAAATCTGTTGCTCCATTAATTTGGAGGAAACCCTTATCAATCAAAAGGTTATTAATAAGTTAGTCTTTCTAACAAATTGACTATATAGCACAGACCAGTTCTAAAGTAGGCTACAAGGCCATGCAAACTGCTGCATGTGTCTCTGAGTGTGGGGCACATCTTACTACTTAAGGTTAAGAACGATGGGGGAATCCATAATAAGATTGCACCAGAGCAGGACAGTTGTGACCTGGGTTGCCTCCTAGAACACAATAAAAGGATCATTTGAGGGAAGATTGGGCAAGATGGAAGAGATGGCAGAGCTGCACAATAGCAGCTTATTTTGTAGTGCTATGAACGTTTCTGTGGAAGGCTCCTGACCTATGAACCAGTAAGTCCTGGGTTCAAATACCACCTCTCTCAGAAACTTGATGGACTGCCTGAGGCAAACCATAATTCTCTAAGCCTCAGTCCAACATCTGCAGTACAGAGATAACAGCATGGATCTTTCTTATAGGGTAGTTAAAGCTGTACTAAGCTAATGTGTGTGAGGAGCAAAATAAGTGCTTAGCACTGTAATGTGGATTCCTAAGGGATGGTGAGCACGTCTGCTGCCTACCAAAGGATTTTGAATGCACTGCCTTCCCTCACCATCCCATTTCTTCAGAGGCTGCATTCTAGCACCAGAGCACACACCTCTTCGAAAAGGAACCCCTGCCCAGCTACTCTGCCCTGCAGCAGGGACCAACTTACACCTTCCATTTCAGCAGGTGGAATTTCACCAGTTTTGACTTGCTTTGGTACAGCATTAATGGAAAACAGCACGACTCGCTGAACCAAAGAAAAGGGCCTTCATTTGCAAAGACAGGCAGGTGTCCTAATCTGATTTCAGTGAAAGTCCTTCCACAGTGCCTAATACTGTAACTGCTTGATAAATGTAAGCAAACCCAGTTCCTGAGACTTCCCAGGAGAACTTTTATAGGGTCAGAACTCCCCCATTACAGCATCCCGTCTCTATCTGGAGCAGGCCTCAGTGTCTATAAGGATAACAGTTATTTTTAGGTTTCCTTTCATATGCCTGAAATTGTGTTAAGTTTTCTTGATTATCTTCCTTTTGTCTAATAGCGCTGGCTGTAGACTTGGACAGCCAGAAAGCACTTAACTGCACCAAACACTAAGAATATGTTGCAGCTGATGCAACGTGTGGGCAGAATAAGACGCAAGTTGGAAAGTTGTGTTGAGCCAGAACTGAAGGAGGGGTTGCATTTTGCTAGCAATTTTGCCCCCCCCCCAAAAAAAGTCCTCCACCTTGAGGAGAAGGACCTGAAAGAGAACTATTGTCTTTGAAATTTTGTGGGAGAAGAAGTGGGGGGATATATCCCTGTAGCCAAGACAACCAGGAGATATTCTGCTTCTGATCCAGAATTAGTTGTACTTAAATTAGATTCAATGAAATTAATGGGACAATGTATTCATGATTAACTTAAGTGCTATTGATTTCAATGGACCAACACTAAATATGACTAGGTCTGGATTAGGTCAAGCAGACTTCAGGCTCCTGGGATCTACTTCTTTCTTCTTTTTTTTACCAGAAATAGATGCAAAAGGCATACACTAAAGAATTCTGAGCTCAAGAACTGGTTTTGTAACCAGAAAACTGGCTCATAGTACTTTTGACATTAAAAGGACTTCCTGGGGTGTCTTTTACACATTGTGCTTTATTCAGCAGTATAAACTGGGGGAGCCATTTTGTTGCTGCCATTATTAAACAAATGGGAGTCAGAAAACATGTTTTCCAACTACTTCTTTCCCGTTTTTTTCCTTACTAGACAAAATCATATAGGAATAAAAGACAGAACAGCTGCATGATGCCTTTTGACCATTAGCACTAGCAGCTCTCTGTCTGGAAACACCCCATTAAAGAGGACAAGCCAGCACATGTGGTACTAGGACACTGCCATGCTCCTGACATTAGCTAAGTTCACACATGAAGGAAAAAGATTCCTTAAACACACCAACAAGAAAATGGCACCTGTCTTCAGCAGAAGACTTGGGTAAGAGAGGCTGTGAACAGGAGCAAAGGCATGTAATGATCTTAGACACCCACATGCAGTTTGGGGAGCGGAAAGTCTGGTTTTAAATGCCTCCTGAGAACACACATTCACTCAGGCATTCTCTGGCTTATCATACAGCAGCTCATATGCTGCTCCACTGAACTGTTCCTTGTATCGTTATTGTAGCTGGGTAGTTTCTTCCGGTGCATTTATGAGCACAAGCCCAAGGCCCTCCTCCAGGAACCCTCCATGAAAGTTATTAGGAGGGTGAGTACCCGGAGGAGGGCCTTCTCTGCGGTGGCGCCCCACCTATGGAATGCGCTCCCCAGAGAGGTCCGCCTGGCGCCGTTGTTATGTGTTTTTCGGCGCCAGGCCAAGACCTTTTTATTTAAACGTTATTTTAATTGTTGAAATTATTTATTGATTTTATATTTATGCCGGGATGTCTCCAGATTTTATGTATTTGTATAGTTATTTATTTGTATTGGAAGCCGCCCCAAGGCTTTTGCGAATGGGGCGGCATATAAGTGTTCCAAAGAAAATAAATAAATAGTGTTGCATGGGGGCCAGAGCTGGGTCTGCAGAGTCTGGCCCCACCCCCAGGAGGCTGTCCTGGCTGCCTCCCATTGTTGGAAAGGGGGGAGGCTGGGACCAAAGGTACCCTCTTTCACCACCCCCACCTCCTCACAGTCTATTCAGAGAGCTGAAAATGATTGAAAGCAGGACAAAGGATATACCTAAGCAACTCTCAGAATCCAGAGGCTTACGAGCATCGAGTGGAGTGATTGCATTGTGCCCTAAATGTGTTTTTGATATTTCTATGTAAACCACTTGCAGATATTACACTAAGAAATATATAAGTAAAATGAAGAAATCTGTGGTAACATTTGGGGAGAAGCACTTGGGAAAGGCCATTTCCAAATAATATTTTCCATTATCATCCATTCAGAATCTTTTAGCAGGAGAACAGTCAGCACAATGCATTTTGAAAGTCATCTACATGCAAGAAACCAAATATACAGCTGTCCATACTGGCCAACTCTAAACTGCTTGTAGACAATTATGGTAAGCCCAGGTTTCCTTTGCCTCATGAAAGAAAAGAGACTGTCAGCTATCCTGTGAAGGACAAAGTGCTCACGACTGAACCCATCATATGGATAGACCAAAGTAGAAGGTTGTACTCCATCTTTTAAAGAAGAATATATTTTAATAATTCAATTCCTCACCAGTGCTGGCCTAAGACATGTTGCTACCAGAAGCAGAGTCCATACACCCTGCCTGGGTCACCTCTTGCCACACCATTCAGCCACAAGTTCCTTTTTATTTGTCATTGCCCCTCCTTGTTGCTCCCTGAATGATCTATTTCATAGGTCCTGCAGCTCCTCACTTCTTCCAGGGAAAGAGTGTTAAGGAGTTAAATAGGATTTGTTACACTGAATTGCATGGTTTTTAAAACTCTAAATTAGTATGCCTGCAAGGTTTAATCAGTAAATTTAACAACTGAAGTGTTAGTTGTTTAATTGGTGATGGAAATTTTCTAAAGGCAGAGCTGAGAATTAAGTTCACACTTTGATTTTTGAGGCTATTTTGGTTCTTGTGGAATTACCGTCATGCAGAATGGTAGGTTTTAAAAGATGTCCTTTCCTTTGTTAAACTGTAAATTCTCACACTTTTTTCAGAATCACAAATATTTCCATATTTTTAAAAGGGCAATAGGAATATATGGATTTTGGCTATTCATTTTAAATTTAACCTATGAATTGTTTGATTAATCAGTTTAAAGGCAAAAGAGCTAAATATGCTTTTAAATACTTGACTGCTATATAATATAATTTTCAACTATCTAGTCCATTTTTGTTTGGAAAGTAGGGGCAAAAAAATGCTTTGCTGTTTGTTTCTGAATGTTATCAAGTTTTGAAAAAAGTCTGTCCTGATTCTGGATTGGGAACAAGTGAAAAAGTTATGAATTCTGTTTGACCTCTGCCAAGGGCTTTACCTTTTTAAATTACACTGCTGAATGGGGGCAGGGAGGCAAACATACTCAGCGATTAAAGGGATAATCTGATAAAACAACAGACAAGTCATGGGGCGAGTTTGAAAAGCAGCCAGTTTTTCTCAAAGGCACTAAGCTTCTGGCCCCTGACTTTGTCCCCAGGATCCAGTTCCAACATAGCACTTTGTCCTGTAATAAAGAGGAATTTAATGTGATTGAAGATCAAGGGGAAGTCATGGAAAAAAGCAGGCAGAAATAAATCTGCTCCACAGGCTTGGAGGTGATGGGGAGTTGGTGGAGTGGGGGAGAAGTTTCTGAAGCAGACTTTGCTATGGGTACTTTTGTTTGAGTAAATTCCAAGGTCTCCCAGCACAGCAGACCAGCTTGCTTGCTTGCAGTGTGCACACAATAAAGAAAAGCAGAGCTTCTAAATTGTAATCCACTGGTCACCTCTTCCTCCTAATCTCAAGGGTAGTACCACTGAATGAACAGAGGCCAGAAGGATTCTCAAGAGTGGAAAAAAAGGAAGCTGCATTTCTCACCCACCAGCCCTAGCCTTGTAGATCTACCTCCACCTCCTGTGTGCAACAGCAACATGGTTTGCTGGACTTCAACCCAATGTGCAAAAAATTATTTTGTAATGCTTCAGGGTGCAGGGAGGGCTCCTAGCACTATCAATGAGAAGGCACTCTATAAGGCACTTCTGCCTTTTTTCTCTTTAATGGATTTTCTTCAATAAGAAAGAAGATAGAAGAAACAGTGGGAAAATGCAGAAAGTTTGTGAACTGCAGCTGGCATCTAGACCTCCTAGAAAATACCGTGAATGAAACAGAGTGATAAAACCCTTGCCTACCCCCTGCTCTCTACTTAATGAGAAGGAAGGACTCACTGGAGAAGAGCCTAATGCTGGGAACAATAGATGGCAAAAGAAGAAGGGGATGGCAGAGAATGAGGTGGTTAGATGGAGTCACTGAAGCAGTTGGCATGAGCTTAAGTGGACTCTGGGGGATGGTGGAGGACAGGAAGGCCTGAAGGAATGTTGTCCATGGGGTCGTGATGGGTCGGATGCAACTTTGCGACTAACAACAACTACAACAGCTCCCTGCTTCAAACTACGATTTTAGCTCTCACATGTCCCAATTCAAAGGCAAAGGCAACAGAGTGATATTCAAGCAAAATAAACAGTGTGTGTGTGTGGGGGGGTCTCCTTTGTTTTACTGAACCCATCTTTTAAGGTATTCCACCTGCAGGAATGTGATGCTTTTCCTAGCTTGGATTTAAGAGACAGAAAAAGTATCACAGGCTGAATTTGCATACCTGGCTTCTTGTTAAGAGCAGGGAGGGCAGTAGCCTTGATATGGGGGACAGGAATAGGGCACAGCCTTACGAAGAGGCAGGAGAGCCTGTGGCGCTGTCCCTCCTGTGCCTGCCTGCTGAACTGTCTGCACAACGGACGTGAGTTGTATGTACGGCACATGAGGGGGGAAGTGAATTCAGCCCTCCTACCTTTGCTGGAAATGGCAAGGGCTGCGGGGCGGCTGGGGTCTGTGAAATTCATAACGGCTTCTTCATTCTCTGCCTTGTGACTCACTCACCTACATTATTTTTTCCGAATAACGTAGGGAGGAGGCACACTCAACTCTTCTGCTCCAGAAGATTAACTTGTAAGAGTATGTCAGAGTAAGATCAACCTGTCTTTAAAGCTGCCCACCCCCCCTTGTTTCTGAATGAATCATTGATCTGAGCGTGTTTCCAGATTGGAAAGAGACAAGCCCAGAAATGTGAATCATCCACAGGCTGAGCACCAGGGGTTGGCACTGTCAGACAGCTGTCAGCAGCCCCAGCTTTCAGGAGGCTCCACTGCTGTCAGAGGCCAGTCTCTTCCTCCCCTCCTTGCAAGCAGATCAGGACAAAAGGCTTCTAAGTGCAGGCTTTATTATGCTAAACTGGCCAGCTTGCCTGGCTTTTTGATTCAAAGGATGAGTATTGCAGAAGACCTTAACAAAAGACACCAGCAAAATTTGAATACCGGCTATTCGGGAAATATGGCTTAATGCTATGAAGTGGGTTCCAAAGTGAATCCTCCTCCCTTTCCAGCCAAAGGGGGTTAGCTCCAACCTGCTCCTTGTGGGCCAGAGGGCACTCAGTTGGTCTGCCCTTTTGATCTGATGCCAAGCGATGGGATGGACCATGTTACATCTGCCTCCACCTGCCTCTGCCTGTTCAGTTGTTCATTCATTAGACTTACTGTTCACTGGAGTGCCTCACGGTACCAGATTTGCCCTGGATCTCACTGGCCTCTGGGCTGTTCACTACTGGGTCTTGCTTTGCAGGCTGAGTTCTAGTGCTGAGGTCTCAACAAGGCACAGAAGGCTCTGTTGCTCTTTGTCAGGGCTGTCACAAGTGCTACCCTGTTGGTGTCCCAACCATCCCAGGCAGCAGCCCCAACTGCAGTGGACAGCCATGCTAGCTGGAGAAGGAAATTGATTTCTCCCAGCATGCTGAGGGAATGCTGGAGAGTGGAATGATGGGGAAATGCAATATTCCCCAAATAGAACCGTTTCCTGCAAGGAATGAAGCTTCCGTTCCATCCACTGATTGCACCAAAGCTTAAGGATTTATTGCCATGTAAAGAGACTGTCCTGAAATATTCTAAATCTCTGTTAAGAGAAACAGTCTTCCAACTTCTGCCCCTCCTGACTATCGATACAATGAAGGCTATGTAGAGAGGGGGAAGCAGCCTACATTTTCCTTGCCAGCCTGCACATGTGCTGAGTAAAAATTAACACTTTTCTGTCAGTGTGTAACCTACACATCAAGTTATGATAGTATAGTGGTTTTCAGATTGTATTCTGGAGAAAAACAGACTTCCTTAGAATCTTATCATTGAGTGTGGAGCCTACTAGCTTTCTGGAAGGACACCTTGCCCACAGCTGCCAATCTTCTCCCTAGAGTGCGCTAGTGGGTGTGTTCTGGGACAGCCTTTCCCACCCTGTTCTCCAGATGGGTTAGACTTCACATTCCTGAAATCTCGGCCAGTGCAGCCAATGCTTGCCAGGAGGCAAAGTTGGGTTCAACAGATCAGGCCAGTGCCTCCCATGAACTAATTATGTGCTGTGGAACATGTCTCAGATGCCTCTGCAGATGTGGCCGATGAGCTGGTATGAAATGGGTTCCTTGGTAAAATATCTGAAAATCATGCACTTTGTGACAGAGGAAAATATGCACACTCTTGACTTCCAACACACTCACCATGGTGCAGGGAACATCTCCCTTCTTGGGCCACTCTGTTCCCAAAGTCCTGCTTCTAAGGCTGCCAGGGCTTGGAGAAGAGGCAGAGATGGAAATTCGCCTTATGGTGTCCCCAGTCACCCCAAATGGTGGGGAAGAGGAATGGGGAATCCTCACTTTATCTCTGCCTAGATATAAAAGGCAGCAGTCCCCCCTACTTAGTGTTCCACTTGCTCTTCCCTTTGGGATGGTGCGTGGCACACTGCTTCTCTGGCTAAGGCTTCAGTGGAAAATCACTCGTCCTCCAGGCATCCCAGTCAACTGGCTCAGCCTTGGTGCACTCATGCATTCCTGGCACACAAACTGAAGTTAAGCTGACTTGGCTTTGCCTCCTGAATGGAAGAAGCTGCTGGACAGGTAATGCTGTCCTGCCTGAGGTGCTACGAAGATGATCCACTTGGGAAGAGACTGTGCCTGGTGCTTCAGGTTCAAATGCCATCTGGACTGTGAAGGACTTGATCCAGGTAGTTGGGTGATCCAGCCCTCCATTCCAGAGTAGCTCCCCATCCCAGCCATGTTTCAATCCTCAGGACACATCTTCACTACAAAAATATCTTACGTTTGGTATGATCCGATGAATGCACCAATACTCCAAGTGAACTCAGAGTATAATTTAACTCCATGACTTCC